TGTGTGTGTTTATATGTAGGTACAGTTATATATGTACATGTGTATATATGTAGGTGTGTGTATATATATATAATGTACATGTATATATATGTGTTGTGTATAAATATGTACATGTGCATATATGTATGTATAACTATGTATATATGTAAGTGTATTTATCTATGTGCATGTGTATTCGGCATACATATGTATATATGTAAATACATGTGTATATGTGCATATAAATATGTATATATGTAGGTACAATTATATATATGTATATGTGTACATTTATATATGGACATGTGCATACAAATATATAAGGAGGTACATGTATGCATATGTACATGTGTATATAGGCACCTGTGCATGTATATATGTAGATACATAGATGTGCATATATGTATGTGTATTTATATATGTATATGCATCTATGCACATCTATTTATATATTATATGCATCTATGCACATTTATTTATATATTATATGCAAACGTATATATATTTTATGCGCATATGGATTATGTGTACTTATATATTGTACGTGTGTATTTATTATATCTGTATGTATATATACACATAAACATGCATATACATATAGAGAGAGAAAAAGAGAGAGAGGCACGCACACCTAAATTGAACTGGAGCGAAACAAAGCATCCACTCTGCAGCGGGGATAATTGCGGGCTGTGCGTGTGCCCGTGTTGGCGCCCGCCAGCATCTGGACGCGGGGCTCCAAGCAGGAGCCGGCGCGCCGCAGCCAGGGCCACCGAAGCGGGGACTCCGCGCGGGCCCGATGCTTGCGGCGCCGGCTCGGGTGCGCGCGTCCAGCCGGCCGAGGGGAGCGGGTTTCCCCGCCGGTCTTCACCGGGGCTGGCACTGCTGCTTTGCGCGGCGGCGGCGGGTGCTCGGGGATGAGTCTTTTTAAAATGTTTTTTCCTGGAGTTGACTGAGGCGTTTCCCGCATCACTGTTGTTACGTTTGCCCGCGAGTTGCCCGCGTCCCCGCCGGCTTGGGAGAGCCCCCCGGGAGTCGGGGCGGGCGGGC